TGAGGGGCAGAGCGAGCATGCGCCTCTCCCCTGGGGGAGGGCGGGGCCTGCCCGCGCACGGGCCCGCGTCCTCCGCCTCGTTTATCCCGCCTGGACGCCGGGTGCGGGAGGGGGGGTGTTGTCCTCCTCGGCGTAAATCGCTTCTTAAATAGGTGCAAGTAAAACCAGGACAGCGTTTTAAGGGACTACGGGGTCTGCAGGCAACGGGTGGAAAAGGTCACCTGCGGATGGTGGCTCGGGGCCTTGCCGGGCCTACCCGCGCTTCGCCTCTGGCCGGCCGTGCCCTCCCGCTGCAGGCCCCTGCGCCGGTGCTTAGGCTAGCGATGGCTTGGGAAACGGCGCTGGCGTGAGGGATCGTCTGGGGAGGCTTTTGGAAACGCCAGTCCAAGTCACACCTGGCTTGCGCAAGGGGTTGTGTACTCAGTTCCGTTTGTTGTTATCTGGCGTCAGGGTTGTCTCGGTGCTCTTTGTGTCTGGGGTACACAAACCATGCACTGTTCCGTGTGCGTGCAGTACACGCGGTGTACTGAACTTGGATCCATAGAGTAACCGTACTTTGTACGGGTGTATTGTGGAATCGGCCTGTACACCTGCAGATAAACTGTGCGGTTCATGGATGATCTGTGTAGATAAACTCTGTCTTCAGTTTAATGGGAAAATGGCCATTTATTGTAAAACTACGGCTTGAACCATGTTCAGTAAGCTTTGCATACTGAACTGAAGTAAGTTTGGGGTGTGGCTGGAGCCCTAAAACAACACTGATCCTCCACCAGTTTCACCTTTTAAAAATAGCAAGTATTCTTAGATTTTTCTAGTAACCCATTTTACATTTGCTTTTAGCTTTTTTCTATATTGTAATGCTACAATCTCAGATCTATTGTAAGACTGTGACAGTAATAAAACATAACTTGTCCCGCAGTAGCGCTTGCTAGTTTAAAATTATGTATTTTCAGTAAATGTTAATGAAAGAATTTAGAAGATAGTTCAGGAGAAGAGTAATTATGATGGAACATGGTGTGTGTTTATGAGCTTTATACTTTTATGGTCTGTCTGATCTTGGCCTCTTCCTTTTAAAGTAATTAAGTGTGCAAATGTTTTTGAGTAGTACATGTTTTTATGACCTCATGATTGTCAAAACAGTAGCAACGTAGGTACCGGTAAGATCTGTCTGTGATAGCAAGGACTTGACTTAACAATCTCTTTCTTCTCAACTTAGGTAACTCTATTACGTACTTTGTTATCTAGAGAACTTTACATATTATTTTATATTACAATTTCATCAAGTCTCCTAGTAGTGCCTTTAGCACTATGACTAATATTTGTTACGTTACTTTTCATTCTTTCTGCAAGATGCGGAGGTAGATGTGAAGTTGAATATGGCGGCGGTTTGGCAATTACAGAATCATTTGCTGAAATTTGGAGTTATTTTTCATCAACGCGTAAACACCCGTTCAGTTCTTTGAATTTGGAACAGAAGGTGGTGAAGTATGCAAAGATTTCAGCTTGCCCGCCCATCCACAGAATTAAACTCTGCGTCTTTAGAAAATTCTGCCTTCTGTAAGTGTGCTCTGTGAAGCTTTTCGTGGCAGAGGAAGGTAGATGCAGACTGTAAAGGTGATCTGACAGTACAGGCCCATCTTTTAGCAAGATAAGGACGGAGAACTTAATACGAGGAGACACTTGGTATAGCAACTAGAAGACAAATCTCATGAGCTGCGAGTGGGCTGGGTTGCTGAAGAGATGCGCTACAGTATTGTTGGTAGGTCAACACAGAAGCTTCAGGCACAGGCATGTAGCATCACCGTAGTCTTTTTCCAAACACTGAAGTGAACTGAAGGGAACTACAAGCTGCCTGGTGGAGAAAACTTAAACACAGCCACATGATCTAGCTCTCTCTCTTCTGTAATCCCCACCGCCCTACCCTGACTGCCGCCTGGCACTTTGGTACTCCCGTCTCTGCAGTACCTAGAGACACCGTTTGCTCGTATTATACTGCTTCCTTCTCTCGTGGGGCTCTTTGATTTGCCTGTAAACTGGCGCAGTCTCTTATCTTTCCTGCAGCCTCTCTGCTCACCCTAGACGTACGTGCACGCTCAACCACCTGCTTCCCGCTGCCCCAGATCTTTCTGGTCGCATGCTGGGCAGGCCTGGAGGTCCCGCTCATGGGCTTCTACAAAAACCTTGTCCAAACGTCCTCTTCTGAAAATGCAAGGTCTCATGCAGGTGCTGCAAGGGGCCACGTAGGTCAGCCGCAGTCTGGAGGGAGCAGTGGGCAGAAGCAGTCGGGGAGGGCTGGGACCAAAAAATGATGCGTTCCTTCATTTTTAGCTTTTCTGAATTAACTTGAAAGAAGGTGTAACACTAAATCTGAACGTATGTACGTATCTAAAACATATATTACACTGTATATGATATGTATATATTACACTACGCTTGATCTTAGCCAAAAGGCCAGGAAGTGGTACGTTTATGCTCCTGAGACGGGAAGGTATGAGGGGATTCCCAGCATTAGAAGAGAAATGCTATTTTTAATTGGTTTTAATGCATCTTAGAGTAACCTTTGGCGGATCGTACGGGGACCTCACCAGCTGTGTCCTTGCTGCTACACGTGCTGAAGTCTCCTGAGGCGACGTGGAGGCTGCTCCCTGCCACTGCTTTACGGTTCCGTCTGAATCCCTTTGTCCTGTCTCGCTCCGTGGCCTATCCCGTTCCCACGGGTGCGTTTTCCCGAACGCCGTACGCACCTCGCCG